AAGTCCTACAAAGTAGCTGTTAGGAGTTTACAGGTATTATACCAGAATAATAAACGAAACAACGCAAAAGAGCAAAATGTTGCCTGAAAATTTTTCCCGAAATAACGAAATAGCGAAAAGAATTATATCTTGTTGCATTTATATCACAAATTCATCTTAGCATTTAAAATTTTAACAAACAAAGCTCTGTTAAATGTGTTCAATTCAAACTTGACAAATCTTTTTTTCATCTAGACTGCCTTGGCTTAGAAGCTTCGACGCCTTTAGAGGCTTCTGGCACCGCATTGTCGGCTAACCGATCGACCTGCATTTGATTTTAACGAAAATAACGATGCCGAATCATTTTCTTGCGAACAATTTGGGTAGTTTCACAAAACTCACGCATTTAAAATGGCACCGAATTTTGTGGGTACGAACAAAAGACAAAAGACGAACGACAGGCGATGCGATTTTCATTTTTGCAAATGCAAAGCAAATAATAGGCACGGATATTATTATAGAAGAAGGGTGACAAATTCTACTCACGTTATATCTAATATGGAAAAAATAATTACTATTGTCGAAAAAATTCTACAAAAAAAATAATGATTTCTTTTGTACGCATGTTTGTGTGTTACTTTAATTGTTACACTAATTACGGTATTTCAAAACTTGCTAATGGACAAACGTGAATATCTAGGAGATAAGGATTAGCAGACGGTTACATTTTAATTAATTTCCACGTGCTGTGAACAGTGTATTAGTAAATTTCACATAATTAATGTCAAATGTTTACGAAACGGGTGCACAAATATTTATAAATCTACTTTTATTGACCGTTATAGTTGCTGTATTTATAAGGAAATATTTTTTATAATTTTTTTGCTGGAGGGAAAATAAATTAACATTAAAAAAAGGGATTTGATGACTTGAGACAAGAATCGCAGGAAAAAATATATGTCTAGTAGAGTACAAGTAGGATGTTTGAAAGTAAACAACAAAACTGATTGCATATCAGGTGATACGGAAATTCTGGATGTTTTGAATATTTATTTACGACAGTATCAGCGATTTTTATAGTACTTTGCAAGATGTGCGTAGAAATTGTAATAACAAGAAACTTGAGTCATTATAAATATCCAACAAAAATTGCCGGTGTTTAAGATTTTCCTATTTCAATCACATCAGGAAACCGTCATTAAATAAATAGACTTACAGATTAGGATAACCAAAAGCTTCCTGTCTACGAATTCAGTATTTACTTGTGGAAACCTGAAAGTAATAGATCTCCAACTTTATTATTTGGTTTTTTGAAATCAGTAGACAGTTTGTATCAATTTTTGGAGTTAAATAATAAATTTCGTAGTATAAAAAATGTAAATGACCACATTTCATTATAAGGAATCATTAGTTGTAATGTAATTAAGGACTATGGATCTCTCTATATTATTTTCGTCCAAAACAAAGTAATGGCCTGTGAGGGAAGCGGTACTATTTAATTCATTTGTTCTATTATATCGCGTTTTATGTGTTTTATTAGTTTGTGCGATGGGAACCGACATCACAATGTGTGTGACCCACAATCATGGGCAATTATTGTTACGCTGGGATAATGAAAATGAAACGCGTACTACGATGCAATTATTGTTGTAAAATCGAAGGAGCGCCCAAATTGTGCCAATGACACTCCTTTTTTTTAATCTATATCCGCGAAAATATAGTGGTCCTTGCCTAGTATACGACCAATTGTCAATTTTCATGTTACAGCCAAGTGATCTGATCACTTAAGGTAGATTAGTTAAATGGAAAACACTTCTTTTGCGATCATGATTTTGTAATGCCATCTTTTTAATCTAGGAACTTGGGATCTTTTGGGAGTTTTGGGGCGGTAATATGTATTTTGGAAACATTCAGTCATAAGCTAATTGAAACAACACTGAGTATTCTAAAATAGTGATCTTTTTTATATACGAAATTAAAGTCTTTGATTACATTCTACCGAGAAATGAGGATTAATAAATGAGTAAAGATCTTTCAATAATTTTAAAAACTTTGCGAGAGATAATTTGAGGGTAGCATAAACATCGAACATGTGGCCAAAACTTTAAAATTAGTTTTTTTACGATTCCTGACAGCGATGATTATCCGAGATGATGCTTATATGGTGACTGCGTCTGGGGAACGATTACAAGATAAAGGATATCATTATTATTCCTTCCGTTCCTTCTGGGCGATTTGATGGAGACGCCACGCCCTCTTTTCTATGTAAAGCGACATTATTCATGGAGACGGATGGTTATTTTTATTTATTTAAATACGAGCTGGCGACGAACTTTCGATTAGGTCGGCCTGCAGTTGGAAGATAACGAGACAATGTTCTTCTTATCCGACTGATGCCCCCTATCTCTTGTTTTTCAAGCCCTACGAGTTATTTTTACCCGGTGACGGGGTCGTCACATCGTTTTTCGATTAATATTTAACACGATTTTCCTTATTTCGATGTACAGGGTGTTTTTTAAGTTGCGGTGATCGCTGGAAAGTTGTTCCTTGGATTATTTTAATATCAAAAATAATGCCTATATCATATTTTGCTTTTTCGATTCAGCAAGTCAAATATAATTCGTTATAATCACATTCTTGCAATATCGCCATATAAAAAATACAATATAAGGCACATGTCGTAAAAAACAGCCCAGAAAAAGCTGCAACTTATTTGCATTTTGCCAACTTGCGTCACTTCTTTCGAGTTACTTTTTCGATATTATCATTCTACATCTTACACTTCAATAAAATGTCTACTAATAATTTTTTCACGTTCAAACTTTAATAATTTGACTGGAGTATTAGAGCACCTATCTAAATGTAGCAAAATTTGTAATTTTAACTTTAATTGTATGAAATAACTAGGATACAAAATAAAACATACTGTATCCTGTAGTCCACTAATTAAATTATGAACACTGGGTGGTAGGCGTTAAATAATGCAGCGTAAAATACCTATTCACGTGTGACCACTCAGATGCGACACGTAAAAACAATTTATAATTCGGATATCGAGAAAATTACTCACGCGTCCATATTCTATATCGCATTCCTAAAATTTCAAAGTACCTACGTAGTTGCGTACCTACTAAAACGTTTCTACAAAGTACCTATATAGGTACTTATTTATCTACAACTGCTTATCACTTATCTAATATGTACATACAATGTACATCAATCGTTTAGTCATTCTGTTTGGTAGATACCTACCTAGATATTGATTATCACTTACATTACCCATTAAATTTGAAATTAAGGTACCTACCTAAATCTCTTTACGTCGATTATTCGGTAAAACTGGAACTGTACATATTTCCAATTCACGTTGGGATTCTTGAACTGAATAGGCATAGGAATTTAATGATATCGTGAACAGTTACCATAACAGATTTGTGCATAATTCTATCTGCCAGATGTTTACCCCGTTTATGGCAAACTCGTCGTAGGCCTACGTATCTATCTACGCGAAGCTAAAAGCAACGGTTGTTCCAGCTCTATCCACAAAAAGTGGAAATTTTTGTAGGTAGTTTTCGATTCGCCCCACGACAACTTGGATAATCAATGAGTCAGCGCACTAATGAAATTTGTATTTGTAGTTTAGTTAAATACTTTTAGCAATAAATCGCAATAATCTAAGGGAAGGACTATTAATACTTTAATTCTGGTGCCTACCGGTCGAGAATTGGTGAACTTATTTGACGATTAGACTGTGACTGACACGCATTTGTAACATTCACATCATAATCGCCCGATTTAATTAGTAAACCAATCTTAACCCGTACAAAAAAAATTAACCCCAAGAATGCACCATAGGATGCTGTGACATAAGTTTTCAAGGTCGAGGAAGGAGGCCAAGACCCCGAAGAGATGAATCGGAAAGAAGGCCCGCCGGCCGGCATGGCATGGCTACATAACACTTAACCGTCCCGTCTGCTTTCGAGCCTTGGAGTTAGGTTAGGCCATAACCGCTGCCCGGCGACCAATAGCGTCTCCGAATTCCTTTTATGACCATATATGGTAACGTTTGTGAATGAGCTGGTGGGGCGGACGAGTCCAAGCGCTGTTATCGTAGGGGAGGCCACTGATTCAGATATGCCTTTTTCTTTTGTTTTCTAGGAATTGTTTATATTTGACAAGTAAATAGTCATTAATAAACGTCAAAGTTTTAAGGAATATCAATCTGAAGGGTCCAAAGGCGATATCCCTAAAATTAAGATTTGAAAAATCTTCCGGCTTCACCTTCCAGGTTGCGAGCGTCACTTCCTTGAAATCGCAACCGGCATCTTTCCATTCGTTAGTTGTTCGCTGTTGTTTTGTGACGTGTCTTGTTTAAACGGTAAGATTTCCCTATTCCAATTATTACTTGATTGTTTAATTGTTTTATTGGGTAGTTGGCATCTTTATTTATCGGCTATGTTAATGGTACGATTGAAATGCGTATAATTTTCCAAGAATTCCCTTTAAATCCCTCGCCGGCGAACTCTTGGTCGACCGGCTGTTTGGGGCGTAGCACCTGTTATGATTTTGAGACCGCTCTCGTAGCCGATTTTATACCGGTCTATTTTTACCCCAAGAGCAAGTGGTTGCATTAAAAATAACCAGCGCGATGTTAAAATGAATGTAATGTATTTTTAACCTGTCCGATCTCCTGTCAAAACAGAAGTAATTATTCTTGGACAGCGTGTTTACTTTATAGGCAGCGCTCAATTAATTCCAAATTAGGTAAAATAGTAACGTTTTTTTCGAGGAACTGTTATAATTTTTAGTACAGTATAGGCTTATTTAAAAATACGTAAGTCGCATAGAAGTGTGTCAGTTCAGCTCCACGATTTTTAAAGTAGGGGGGAGCGGGGAAAAATCGATGCAATGCAATGCCTTATATGGTAATGTTGCTGCTATTGGTTCAGCCTAGCTGTGATACTGCGCGATCGTGTCTCCGAGAGCAGGGAGAGGGGCAAATAATAAATATATGGTGTAGAACTTTTGAATTTCAGACATTCCCGTCTTGTGATATTCAGTAGAGTACAGCGTTTTAGTCTGTGCTTGATAAATTAATTTATACATATTTATACTTTTTTACTAGAAACCAAAGTAAGTTGAAGTTTAAAATATATTTTTTTCATTTACGGGAAAAAGCTGGTGTAGTGTGATTTTTTTTAAATTTGGGGTGTGGCCGTGATCGTGGACAAAGTTGCCGTTGAATTCTTTTGGATAGTGATTAATAGTAATAGTGAATATTCTCTTTTAACATTTCGGTTCGAGATTCTATTGTAAAGTGGTAATTTCGTATTTGGCCGGCGTTTTAACAAGTGGTTACGTGGGATTAGTTTGCCGCAAGGCAACGGAAAACGCGAAGAAACCGTTTATTCCGTTTCATGAATCGGGCTAGTTTCTTCATTTGCAAAATTCATGAAATATGTAACAGGCATAACTCGTTCAGCAGTAATACCGGTTTTCGTAACGGATTTTGGTTAACTTTTTCCCGTATGCGCGTTTGTTTCATTCGAGTTCATTCAGGAAACGAATTTTAGCAATACATACCATTGGACAAATTTCATTCGAGTCCTGGAATGCAGGCAGCACTGCCTTAAGGCCTCGAATGGGTTTGGTATGCCAATTTCTTTACTAATAAAATATTTTTGTTACAGTACTAACTACTCAACATGTGTGACGAAGAAGTAGCCGCATTAGTAGTCGACAATGGCTCCGGTATGTGCAAGGCCGGTTTCGCTGGGGACGACGCCCCACGTGCCGTATTCCCATCCATCGTGGGCCGTCCAAGACATCAAGGTGTCATGGTTGGCATGGGACAGAAAGATTCCTATGTAGGAGATGAGGCACAGAGCAAGAGAGGTATCCTTACCTTGAAATACCCCATTGAACACGGTATCGTCACCAACTGGGACGATATGGAGAAAATCTGGCATCACACTTTCTACAATGAACTCCGAGTTGCCCCAGAAGAACACCCAGTTCTCCTGACAGAAGCCCCCTTGAACCCCAAAGCCAATCGTGAGAAGATGACGCAGATCATGTTTGAGACCTTCAACACCCCCGCTATGTACGTAGCCATCCAAGCCGTACTCTCCCTGTACGCCTCCGGTCGTACCACTGGTATCGTATTGGATTCAGGTGATGGTGTATCCCACACGGTACCCATCTATGAGGGTTATGCCCTCCCCCACGCCATCCTCCGTCTGGACTTGGCTGGCCGCGACTTGACTGACTATCTCATGAAGATCCTGACTGAACGCGGCTACTCGTTCACCACCACCGCCGAGAGGGAAATTGTCCGCGACATCAAGGAGAAACTCTGCTACGTAGCGCTCGATTTCGAACAGGAAATGGCCACGGCCGCCAGCTCCAGCTCCCTGGAGAAGAGCTACGAACTACCCGACGGACAGGTCATCACCATCGGCAACGAGAGGTTCCGTTGCCCAGAGGCGTTGTTCCAGCCCTCGTTCTTGGGCATGGAAGCGTCCGGCATCCACGAAACCACCTACAACTCCATCATGAAGTGCGACGTGGACATCCGTAAGGACTTGTACGCCAACACCGTCCTGTCAGGAGGCACCACCATGTACCCCGGCATCGCCGACCGCATGCAGAAGGAGATCACCGGCCTCGCCCCATCCACCATGAAGATCAAAATCATCGCGCCACCAGAGAGGAAATACTCCGTATGGATCGGCGGTTCAATCCTCGCGTCGCTCTCCACCTTCCAGCAGATGTGGATCTCAAAGCAGGAGTACGACGAGTCCGGCCCCTCAATCGTCCACAGGAAGTGCTTCTAAGTTTAATTTTTCTTTACGCCTGCATTCCAATTATTCGATGCGTTCCACTTCTTTGTATTATAATGCGAAACGCTGCCCCCGGGCGCTGAACTGCCATGTCGGTACGGGACCGAGCGACGGTACACTACGCCAAAGTATTACTATCTTAATTTTGTGCGGTCGCTCGATCCTGCATCGGCAAGTAATATAATATTATTATTACTTTTAGGCTAATACTTATGGGATAATAAATAAAAAAATTGTAAAACTTTATTTGTTCTTATGTTTAATTTATTTCACCTTTTTTTGTAATAAAAATAAAATACTATAAAAATTTATACACCGCACTTGATTATTTTTTTCGGATTAAAAAAATTTGTAAACTTGAGAATTCCTATAAAATGTGAAAAATACTTAAAAAAATTTTCCGATATGATGCTGCTACTTGCAAAATAAAAATCTTAGTTACAAAGTTTTATCTAAATTGTTTAAAACAAAAACACTTAGAAAAATGTTTTTTTTTGAGACATACAGGGTGATTCACAAATGGTGACCAAAAATTAAACCTCGTATTTGGTGAATTTAAAGGGGTCTTTTGTATAAAATTTTATCTAGGACGCTTCGTTACAAAGATACAGGGTGGTAAACTTAAAAAAGTATTTTTTAAGTAATTAAAAAGTTGAGACCTTTTTCTAAAATTTTCAGGCCTCAGTGGCGGGTATCGGTACCATATTTTTCTAAATAAAATGGTACGCCTTTGCTTTACGGTAACAATCATAATGTTTTTGGATTCGTCTCGATTTTTTACAAATAGTACTACTTCACGTTTTTTGAAAAAAGCCTGATTTTCGAGTAAAACTTAAAAAACGAACTGAAAACACTTACGTAAATGACGTGAAAACACTAATCATTCGGTTATTTAGTTGAATAAAGAAATTAATATTAGTCATCATTTTAATGATTCTATTTGAGGAAATGCTCTAAAATACCTCCATTTCCACGAACACGGGTGTGACATCTTTTTATTAAAGAAAATATAATTTGTTCGAAATTTATTGTTGCTTGAATCTGATGAAAACGATTATTTATTATTTTTTCTAACTGCTCAGGTGTATTAATTTGTTCACTGTATACCAGCCGTTTAACAGCACCTCACAAAAAAAATCCAGTGGGTTGAGATCCGGTGTTTTCAGTTCGTTTTTTAAGTTTTGACAATGTTTACATAAATACGTGTGCCTAATTTCAAATTATTTCACTTACCAGTTTTTAAATTATTTAAAAAAATTAGAAACATTTTTTAAGTTTATCTTTTTAACGAACCGTCCTAGATAAAAATTTCCCGACATGATGCTGCTACTTGCAAAATAAAAATCTTAGTTACAAAGTTTTATCTAAATTGTTTAAAACAAAAACACTTAGAAAAATGTTTTTTTTTGAGACATACAGGGTGATTCACAAATGGTGACCAAAAATTAAACCTCGTATTTGGTGAATTTAAAGGGGTCTTTTGTATAAAATTTTATCTAGGACGCTTCGTTACAAAGATACAGGGTGGTAAACTTAAAAAAGTATTTTTTAAGTAATTAAAAAGTTGAGACCTTTTTCTAAAATTTTCAGGCCTCAGTGGCGGGTATCGGTACCATATTTTTCTAAATAAAATGGTACGCCTTTGCTTTACGGTAACAATCATAATGTTTTTGGATTCGTCTCGATTTTTTACAAATAGTACTACTTTCACGTTTTTTGAAAAAAGCCTGATTTTCGAGTAAAACTTAAAAAACGAACTGAAAACACTTACGTAAATGACGTGAAAACACTAATCATTCGGTTATTTAGTTGAATAAAGAAATTAATATTAGTCATCATTTTAATGATTCTATTTGAGGAAATGCTCTAAAATACCTCCATTTCCACGAACACGGGTGTTACATCTTTTTATTAAAGAAAATATAATTTGTTCGAAATTTATTGTTGCTTGAATCTGATGAAAACGATTATTTATTATTTTTTCTAACTGCTCAGGTGTATTAATTTGTTCACTGTATACCAGCTGTTTAACAGCACTTCACAAAAAAAAATCCAGTGGGTTGAGATCCGGTGTTTTCAGTTAGTTTTTTAAGTTTTGACAATGTTTACATAAATACGTGTGCCTAATTTCAAATTATTTCACTTACCAGTTTTTAAATTATTTAAAAAAATTAGAAACAATTTTTAAGTTTATCTTTTTAACGAAGCGTCCTAGATAAAAATTGTATACGAAAGACCCCTTAAAATTCACCAAAGAATACGAGGTTTCATTTTTGGTCACCGTTTGTGAATCGCCCTGTATATAGGCTGTTCTAGAAATTAGCACAAGCTAGATGATGAATAAATGAAGCTTATTGAATTACAATTTCCCAAATATACGAGCAAACAAGTTATAAATAATACGGATCAACTAATGTGAACCAGCTTTAAATAAAACAGAACCAAAAAAACAAGAAGTTTTTTTTTTTTGTAATTCTTATAGATCACAGCAGTGTCTAAGAATGGCTTGATATTTATGGTATCGTATAATAAATAAAAATATGTATCATAAACATTTATAAACCAGGCATTTGCTTATTTTTTGGGGTTCTTCAAAATGTTAGCTTCAAACATTAAAATTCATCTACAAGTGATTTGGAAATAGCATTAAATTTCACGAAATCTATAAATTTTTTCAAAGGAATTTTTCAATTTTGCATAAAATTTAGAAATATTTAAAACGTAAATTCTGTTATTTTATCCTAGACAACGTGTGATGTTATTTTTTATATCACATCAGTATCTACAAATGTCTTGACACTTGTAGAATATTATAACAAATTTAAAAAATTAAAAAACTATCATATTAATAAAAATAAAATGCTGTAAAAATGGGATTCCTCTAACTGCTAACATTAAATAACAAAAACTTTAAATTAAATTTTTAATTTTTAATTAAATTTCATGAATCTACAATTTTTCATTGAAATTTTTAAAATTTTGGATAAAATTTCAGAAATATTTGTAATGCATCAAATTTTCATAAATTTCCTACTGAAATTTTTTCGAGTAACTAAAAATTTTAATATATTAAAAATATATAGGTATATATTTTTTAAATCTAATATAACGAGCCATTATAATTTAAAAAATAACCACTTAATTTCAAGAATTTATATAAAATAGGTACATACCTAAATTTAATCTTCTTGTTTTGTTTTAACATTTTCTAAAATTTCGAAATTTGACGGGTTCTTTAAAGACTAAAATTTCACTGCCTCGATACTATTAGGAAATTAATAATTGCTAATAACTTTTTATCAAAATTATGTTGTTTTGAACATATTGAAAATCATACTTAAAAAAATGTTTTTCGAGATAATCTAATAAACCAATGCAAAAAATTAAAGGGTCAAAAGAATTTTCAAAATTTTTCCTTGATATCGGGAATTAAAAAAAAGCATTTTGAAAATCTAAAATTCTACTTTTTAGATCTTTCGGTCAAAATTTTTTAGGAGCTACGGTTATCACGCAATTCTGGAAATAGTGTGACAAAAAATTTTGCAATTTTTTTTTGAGGTTTCAACCCCGATTCATACCGTTTTTTGAGACAATTTCTAATTAATTTTTGTGCAGTCTGTAATTACTTAAAAAACAGTTTTTTTTCAAAACTACCCTCTTTCTTCTGAAAAGAAAATAAAAAAAAAAATTTCCGAAAAGTTGCGGTAGCATGTTATAGGAAATTTATTCCAGTTTTCGAAACTGCCCTTCAGTTCTCTGGACGACCATTTTTGTCGCCCAGATATCGATGATTGAATACAAAAGGATCCTTTTCCATTAAAAGTTCGATATTTCAATAAAAAATGGTCGTATCGAAATTTAAAAAAAAGGAAATTGAAGCTGAATAAACAATCTATCTGGTCCATGCAGTTTCACTGAAAAAATATTTTCCAAGTCAGCGGACAGAAAAAATTTTTTTTTGTCACGCTATATCTTAAAATAAATCCTAACAAATTTCGCCCGGAATTTCTAAAAATTAGAATCTTAGAGCTTCAAAATGCATTTTTTTAATTCACGATATGACCATTTTTTATCTAAATATAGTCTGTCAAAAATCACGGAAAAATTTCGGAAATTCTTTTTACCCTTTAATTTTTTGCATTAGTTTACATAAGCTGTTTGAAGTTAGCAGAAAATAGGTGAAGAATAAGGGAAGATCATTTAATTTAAAATTCTCCATATACAGAGACTAATTTATAAACGTTACTTATGAACTGATATGAAATGACTTTAAATAAAAAAGAGAACTGAAAAGGGTTCTTTTTTAGTAGTTTCTTCAAATATATAACGTCTAAAATTTTGTTACTTTAATCTAAATTATATGTGGTACTAAAGCGAAAGCGGAGTATGTTATTATTTTTATAGACAACATCTCTATTTAAGATCGACTTACTTATGGTTTAGAATTAAAAAAATGGAAAATTATTTCAGCTTTCGTGATAAGAATAAAACTATTTTTTAATTATTTTCTCTCAATAATAATAATTTCTTACGTTTTTTATTCAAATTACCCTTTTTCAAAATTTCGTTTCAATATCTGGGTTGCTCAGATGATATTTAGAGCCATAATACTTTTTTTTGGGAAAATTTAACATCTTGTATCACAAAACTGAGACCTTTAAGGGCAAATTAGATTTGGACGAATAAATAAACTGCTTTATCAAAAAAATGGTGAGGGGGGAAAATGTAAGGTATTAATGTACGTTTTGCTAAAATAGGTATATGTATTATATATACACAACTGATATCAATAAAAATATAAAGATTCCATAATAATTAATTTGCATCTTAAGTAATAATTAATTTATCTACAATACCGTTGAATGCTTTCGCAGAGGGAGAGTCAGGAATTTCTTTAACGCACGTTTTCTCCAGCAGCTGTCCAACCCTGGGATCAATCGGAAGTGATCCTAATAAAGGTATTTTTGCCAACTCCGCCAAAGACTCGCCGCCTCCTTTACTGAAGATATTCGTACACTCCGTACAATGAGGGCAAACAAACCTGAAACGTTAAATATGTAAGTTTCAATAGTTGAACTGAACAGAAAAAACTTATCGTAAGTTGCTAAAAACTATGCTCGATACTAACACTGTGGTAAATTACCTACCCGCTCATATTTTCAATCAATCCTAAGATATGAATTCCCGTCTTTCTGCAAAAAGTTATTTCCTTCCTGACATCCTCTATCGATACTTGTTGTGGAGTTGTTACTATTACTGCACCGTCACATTTTACCGTTTTTAAATTCTCCATTACTGTTATGTGCTCATCTGACGTCCCTGGAATATTATTAATTTATTTAATTGTTCGAATTTTTTACTGAAAATATGCCCAAATTTGTCTACAAACCTGGTGGTGTATCTATTATCAAATAGTCCAAGTCTCCCCAGCATACATCTGTAAGAAACTGTTTAACCATTGCCGTTTTTTTCGGACCCCTCCAAACCACAGCGCTATTTCTATTGTTTAACAGAAATCCGATAGACATGACTGCCAAGTTTTGATCATCTCCGGCGTAAACAGGAACCCATCTGAAAAAATTTGAAACATAATCTCGCCTTCTCAAAACTAGAACTTACCCTCCATCGGCCTGATGTACATCTTTGCCTTCCAGTTGCAACAGATAAGGTATACTTGGTCCACATAAATCTACGTCTAATAAACCGACCTAAAATAAAATATTTATATGTGAAATAATGAACTGTTTTATCATTACTTTGTAGCCTCTTTCTTTTAAAGTTAATGCTAACTGTGTGCTAACGGTAGATTTTCCAACCCCTCCTTTACCAGAGAGAACCAAAATAATGTGTTTCACGCCGTCCAACATTTTGGAAAAAAATAGATAGTATATAAAATTTTCAAAATCTCTACAGGTACTTTACATAACCTCAAATTACAAAATGTCAAAATTAGTTCAGACGTTCAGACTTATGTACTATGTATTAAATATCTACTAGACGTGAGAACTACAATAATCAATCGCTTTTCAGGGGCGCCACATATACAGTAAAATGCAAATTTCACTTTTTTTTATAAATATGATAAAAATAATATGGAGATACAAAAATCATCGGAAAATGTCGATGGTTAATAGGTATTTATGAGATAGAAAATGCTATATCTAATGCACTACAAGTTTGAAGAGTCACCTAACTTGTACCATTTGTAAAAAAAAAGTTGAAATGATACTCATAAAGAAGAAGTAGAAGAAGCACATTTTGAATTTTTTTTAGTTTAGCCTTTAGCTTAAAAAGTTTAGCTTAAAAGAGTTTTTGGAATATGTATATTTCACTTTTTTGTATTATTACAATAATTAATAAGGGATTATAATAATTGCGTAAACATTAATGCGAAGGTAAGTCTGTTTTCTTTGACGTAGGTTTCTATGGAAACCTACAATAATTACATCCTATTACAACACAAACATTGTGTATGTTAAGTACTACAATGGTAATAACTTTACTAATGCTATACTTTTTTTAATATTTATTGTTTTTAGATTTTGAGCAGATCAAAACCCGCTTTGCCATCTACCAATGATTCCGCAAATTCTAAGCGAAGTGCCCCTCTCAAGAACATATCTCAGATTGAGGATTACTTGAAGAAAAGGGATTACACTGGAGCTATTACCTTGCTGGAAGTAAGTTGGTCGATAAATTTCTTCTAAGATACATTGCCGATTTCAGTTTAAACAACACAATGATCAACTTGACAACGTGGAACTATGGGTAGCTTACTGCTCGTTTCACAGAGGCGATTATAAGAAGGCCTTACAGATATATCAACAATTGTTTAAGAAAAATCCAGAGTCGGATAACTTAACTGTAAACGTAGCATGCTGCTATTTCTATTTAGGTATGTACGAGGAGTCTAAGGAATTTTTACAGAAATCGCCAACAAGCAGGCTTAAAACGAGGCTGAACTTTCATTTATCACACAAATTAAGGGACGAAGGCGCGTTAATGGAATATCACCAACAACTCCAAGATGTTCTAGAGGATCAGCTGAGCTTGGCTGCTATCCACTATTTGCGGGCCCACTACCAAGAAGCTATCGATATCTATAAACGTTTGTTATTACAAAACCGGTAATTTTCCAGTAACGTTACGAAATCTAGTTACAATAAAACGTGTTTTAGGGAAAATCTAGCGTTAAACGTTTATGTAGCCCTCTGCTATTACAAATTAGATTATTACGACGTGTCCCAAGAGGTTTTAGGGTTGTATCTAAACCGTTATCCAGATTCCGTGATCGCAACCAATTTAAAGGTAAAAATTGAGAATTGTGTTATGTTTGATGATAATATTTGGTGTTTGAAGGCGTGTAATACGTTCCGTTTATACAACGGGGCAGTTGCGGAGAACGAGTTGAGATCTATCATCGATCAGAGCGCTAATGCCGGCTTTGGATACGATTTGGTCAAACACAACTTAGTTGTTTTTCAGGACGGTGAAGGCTCGATGCAGGTGAGACATCGACAGAAGAAAGTTTTTTAAAATATTTTTATAATTTGACTTACTTAAGGTTTTTCCATCTTTGGTCGATGTCGTACCGGAAGCGAGACTAAACTTGGTGATCCACTACCTTAAAAACAATGATACGAAAGAAGCGTACGAGCTGTTAAAAGATCTACAACCGGCCGTCCCTCAGGAGTACATCTTGAAAGGCGTTGTCAATGCAGCGTTGGGTCAAGATTTAAATTCGGTAAGGTTCAGCATTCGTATCGTGATATGATGAAGTTATATTGCATTCTTGTAGCCCGAACACATTAAAAACGCCGAAGAATGTTTTCATTTAGTCGGAAGTTCTACCAGCGAATGCGACACGATACACGGGAGACAGTGTATGGCTGCGGCGTTCTTTCTCGCTGGGCAATTCGAGGAGGTCTTGGTGTATTTGACTTCAATTAAAAGTTATCTACATTCAGGTATATAACGATGACGTATTTGGTCATTTTTGCTTTGTCAACTGATTGTTTGTTTTTTGCCTGCCTAGCGTCGTGTTGTCATATCCCATCAGATTGATTGTTGTAATGCAATTCGCTTTAACTCTTTCAATGTTAGAGGTTATTGAAACTGAAATTCATGAACTAAACACAGTGCTTTAAAAATATAGTAACAAATATACTGGCTTTGCAGACGACACCTTCAACTTCAATTTTGCCCAGGCCAAAACGGCCTGCAACCAGTTCAAGGAAGCTGAAGAGACTTTCCTGCTAATACAGGACGCCCACATAAAGAATGACTACATATACGTGTCGAATCTGGCGCGGTGCTACGTCATGAACAAGAAACCGCAGCAGGCATGGGAGTTGTACCTGAAGATGGACAACGGCGCCGAGAGCTTCAACCTGCTCCTCCTCATAGCAAACGACTGCTACAGGATGGGCGAATTTTGGTATGCTGCCAAGGCGTTCGATACCTTGGACAGGCTGGAACCCAACCCCGAGTTCTGGGAGGGGAAGAGGGGGGCCATCGTCGGCGTTTTTCAGGTGATTTCGCTCATAATCATATATATATTTTTTTATTACTAGCCTTTGCAATGAATTTTTAACCTGTCCATGTTGTTCTCGGGCTAAGCTCTGTGGGGGCGAACCTGCTAAAGTGACTTTTTGCTGTAGAAATAGCTGAAAAATTACGTTTAGGTCAATTTTTCCTTGTTATATGCCCAAAAAGAGCAGTTTTCTCATAAGATATCGATCAAAAGCGTTTAAACAAATTAAAATCTGTGGTAAAATGTAATTCCTAGTCTATTTCCTGATTTTTTTTTAAGTTTCTCGATGATGGTTACATAATATCAAAAAATTCAGCTTTAATTTACTTGTTTGGGAATATTCATGTTTTGAAAATCAAACTATTTTATTTTTGTCTAGTTTTTTTACTATAAAGAATGTTTCACTAAGAATAAGACTTGGCTTAATGAGAGTTCGCTTAGGTCAAAATAGGGCGATTAGTCCAACCAAATTACAGTTACAGAAAAAAAAAAATGTTACCTGGTCTTTTATATGTGGAAATGATAAAGGGGCTTATAATAAACGTAAAAAAATAAATGCGTGAGCACGGGTGGCGGAGGGTTGATTTGGGGGGTTGAAAAGTTGTGAAAAATTGTATCATTGGAATTTCTGGCGAAAGTTGACGACAAACAAAAAAGTATCTAATACAAAAGTTGTAGATCCTGCAAAAATCTACAACTTTTGTAGAGGTCACTTTTTAAGATTTTTAACCTCAAAATTTCCGAGAAAAATGGAAAAAACTGTTTTTTTTTTATTTTTCGTTTTTTATTTCTCATTTTCGCAAATATCATTTCATTTTGACGGAACTTGGTGAAAGTATTCTGTGTTTTAAATAACCACAAATATTTTTAGATAAAAAAAATCAAGAAGTTTCCGAAATATTATTTTTTTCCGGTCTGAAACACTTGTTTTTCAAAGAAAAATTCTACTTAGAAAAATCATCGTACAGAGTTCTACCGATAATAATTTTCTTTGTTTTGACATCCTTTTTGGTGAAATAAAAATCTGTTATCACAGTTCAAAAACATGCTCAAAAATGCAAAAAAAAAAAAAAAAAACAACTAATTTGGTTTTTCGGTAACTGTTGATAACTTGTTTAAATTAAAAAAAAAATTCAAAAACTGATTCAATTCTACGAAAGAAATAAAAAAAAAACTGTCATTGTTTGACCCAAAACTTTATTTTTGTACAGTATTGCAATAAACATCCAAGTCGAATAGTGAAAATATAAAATAAATAATTTTGTTTTTCGTAGGATCAATTAGTGTACTTATTTTTTTTTAATTTTGATGATTTTTTAATTAAATTATTTAAAATTTCGATTTTTGCTTTCAAAATTATAAATTTTTCAAAATTTTTACAATGGATATTTACAATTAAATAATACTAGGCAAATCTTGGTCATTTTGTCAATTTTTTAACTTGATCTTCATCTTCCGATCCTTCATTAGACTGGGTTTCCTCCTGATCTTCAAACGATTCTTCAATATCACTTAATTCTTCTGTTAATTGATTTTCTGTGTTCAAGCAAAGACTTCGCTGCTCGACTTCATGTGAAATGTCTTCTGACTCACTGAAATTTTCCGAAATTTTGTCAACGTTCAAACAATTGTCCGAACCATGACATTTTGTACATAGATCTGTACAGAAGTTTCAGTCATGCCTGAAGATTTATTAAAAACAATCTCTTGCAGCTGCGAAATCAGTTGTGACAGTAATAGATGCGGGTGTCGAAAACATGGACTGCGATGTACAGATTTATGTACAAAATAACATGGTTCGGACAATAGTTTGAAATTTCGGAAAATTTCAGTGAGTCCGAAGACATTTCACATGAAATCGAACAGCCAAGTCTTTGCTTGAACCCGAAAAATCAATTAACCGAAGAATTGAGTGATATCGAAGAAACGTTTGAAGATCAGGAAGAAACCCAGTCTAATGAAGGATCGGACGATAAAGATCAAGTTAAAAAGTTACCAAAAAGTAAAAAATTTTGAAAGCAAACATCGGAATTGTAAATAATTTCATTAAAAAATCGCTTATATATTTATGAATTCATCAAAATTTTAAAATAATGAGTACACTAATTGATTCTACAGAAAAAAATGATTATAAAGTTTTGGGTCAAACAATGTTTTTTTTTTCTGTACAATTGGACGGTGCTCAGTTTTTGAATTTTTTTTAAATTGAAACAAATTATCAACAATTACTACTGAAAAGTTCATTGTTGCAAGTCACTTTTAATTTTTTTTTGCATTTTTGAGCATGTTTTTGAACATTAATTACAGATATATTTATTTCACCAAAAAGTATGTAAAAACGAAAAAAATTATTACCGGCAGAACTCTGTACAATGATTTTTCTAAGTTAAAAAATTAATATCTCGGAAACTTCTTGATTTATTTATCTAAAAAAATTTATGGTTATTTAAGACGCAGAAAGGTATACTTTCACCAAGTTTCATCAAAATTAAATTATTTTTGCGGAAATGAGAAATAAAAAACGAAATATAAGAAAAAACACGTTTTTCCCATTTTCCTCGGAAATTTTGAGGTTATCTGAAAAAGTGACCTCGACAAAAGTTGTAGATTTTTGCATGATCTACAACTTTTGTATTGGATACTTTTTTGTTTGATGCCAACTTTCGCCAGAAATTCCATTGATACAATTTTTCACAACTTTTCAACCCCCAAATCAACCCTCCGCTACTCCTGCTAACGCATTAATTTTTTTTACGCTTATAAGCCCCTTTACCATTTCCACTTATAAAAGTCCAGGTAACAACTTTTTTCCCGTCTAAATGAGTTATTTCGATCGGTCTAGATAAAATGTCAGAATTTAAAAGAAAATTTCAATAGTAGTATTATTTAATACAAGAAATTCCTTTTTTTAACGAATTTACTATTTTTACTAAAACTATTTCAATATCAGCCTAAACTTTTGCCTTAAAAGACAAACAGCTGAAAATTTGAACTTTTTTTTTTAAATTTAACATCCTGTATATCAAAAAACCGTGCAATTTTTTCAATCGCCCTATTTTGACCTCATACGCTGTGTCCCGCTCTCGAAAAGAGTTCTTTCTGATGTTTTAAAGCATCATTGGCCTTAAAACATAAAAATGTTATTAATTGAAGGGAGTGATCGCGAAGAAATTCCCCGTGGACACGCTAGGCGATGTGCTGCAGCTGCTGAGGAGCAGCACATCGAACCAGGCCGACCAAATAGCGAAGGTAATAAGAAAATGGGCCAAAGAACAAAGACTAAGCATATCGTAGTCGAACAATGGGCATTGCACGATCCACCACCACTCCACAAACGAGATAACGCACACTACAACAACGAAAGCTTATCATTTCCTGAAACTTTATCGTAATTATGTTATTAGTAACGTTGGATCTAATCTGATTCCTTGAATTGTATTCTGTGCAATAAACCTTGAAGTAGAGAGTAAATATATTTTGGAGTTAGATGGATTTTTATTTGCATAATCCTTTTATCGCCTGTTTTCTTACTAAAGGATTTTTGTATTTGGAAATTATGCGTGCGTCGTATAAATTTTTTACAAAATTTTTTATGACGGGTTGTGATATTTAACGGTATCCGGACCTAAAATGCAAGTAACAGATAAACTGTTTGTTACTTGAAATGTTGAAATATGTCGAAATCGAAATAAAATACGACTATTTTCGTTATGGGTTTATTCAGCGATTTAATAACTACAGGGTGATTCGCAAATGGTGACCAAAAATTAAACCTCCAATTCTTTGGTGAATTTTAATGGGAGTCTTTCCTATAAAGTTTTTATCTAGGACGTTTCATTAAAAAGATACAGGGTTGTGTAGTTTTTAAATTATTTAAAGAAATTAAAAATATTTTTTGAATTTTAACACCCTGTATCTTTTCAACGAAGCGTCCTAGATAAAAACTTTATAGAAAATTCAACAAAGAATACGAGGTTTCATTTTTGGTCACTGTTTGTGAATCACCCTGTAACTAAAATTTTAATTTTAATTTGAACAAATTCAAAAATTTTTCTACAAAATCTTATGATAAATCCGAGCAATGGTTTCCGATACCAGGAATTTAGATATCTAACCGCATAGAGAAGATTTCAAAGTGTTGATATTGCAGGAACCGACTATTCTGTGGGCCACATGCCCCAACAAGCATTGAATCGTACCTCGACAATACACCTTGTGAAACGACAATATCAGAGGTGTTAAACATGACTGGTTTAGTGTCAATTGTTTTTTTTTTCTTAACTAATATTTGCCCTTTCTCTCCTATTTTTACTCCATTGTTAAGGTATTAGGTTAAATCAAACAATTTTTTTAATCTCGCCATTTGTAGTCAAACAGTTTCTGAATTAGTTTGAATTAGATTAATGCCTTTACAATGGAGTAAAAATATAAGACCTAATAGAATACACGCTTTTTAAACAATTTAATTAAATTTAGTAAAAAGGACAAATATTGACATTTGTAACAGTATCATTTGAAAATTTAAATTTTTCTGAAAATTTTGGTTTTGATATTTATTAATCACATTTGTAAGGAGGCTACCTGATTAAATAATCCTAAGTAAAATCCGAGTTGCTATACACGTAAGCCACTTTTGGTACTTGAAAAACTAATGTAAACACTATCACAACAACACAACAACGATAATACTAAACTCGAATTTCAGTAGTCGGAATCGCTTGGGGACACGTGAGCGAATGACGCTAGACTACAGTAGCCCAGCAATGTAAAGGTTGAAAATACTATAACTTCAATAATGTTTTTCCCAGAAACTATAAGGATTTCCAAAAATTTTCACTGCCATTGTTTTTTTAAGCTATTTCAAATTCGACTCTATTATGACTAATGAAGGCTGTACAATAAAATTGTATTTTTGCCACACGTTGCTTGATATAGAAATAAATAAAATATTACACCATATTGCTAGAAGTGTGAAATCATCAAATTATCTTCAATATAAAAATAATTATTATCCAAGTAATCACGTTTATGATAAATGAAGTGTAATTTGCTTGGCTTCGTTCAATTTTGGACACCATGTGTATCAAAAAACTTTTTTTTTGTTAATTTGTGGCAGAATCTACCGTAAAAGTTTCGGTAAGTAATTTAGTTACATCCTTTGTGTAAAAAATAGTCACGAGTACATTTTTGTGAAACATTTTATCTTAAACAAACCTGATTCCTTGGAGATACAACGGTATAGTAATAGAAAATGCTTGATTTTATCCGACGACGATCAGAATTTGCAAGAACAAGCTTTCTTCTAGATAAAGTTCTTGTAAAAGGAAGTACATACTTATTTCAAATATGTATCAGATATCGATGGAGAGGATGCACGCTGTCAATTTATGGGTTTTGCTACTGTCCAGATAAATAACACATATTTTTAGATCATTATTTATGACGTTTCTTTTTTTTATTGTATTCCTGATAAAGCAGATAAGCGATATATACGGTTTTCCCAAATCGTTATCTGAGCCGGGACTTATCTTAAATATATTTATTGAAAGCCTATGCAAATTCTATTCAATAAGTATTTTCTGCTGTTGTGTCCGATAAATTCCATAACGGATAAAAATAAGACTAGACTGGGAATATCGATACTCGTTACATATTAAAACATTTTTATCGATGAAATAATGATCGGTATGAGATCACTAATAACACGTTATTAATATTAATTAAATATCCTCTTAATTTTTTACAAGTAAAAAGTCAAAAGTTTTCAGTTCTAATTTTAACGAAGTAACTAGTTTTCATGTTGTACAATTTTCTCCTGAGAAATAGAATGGGACTTTTATGAATGAGTAAGTCTCATCAATCGGCAAGTTAACTGTAGTTCGATTTAGCTCCATACACAAACAAATCGTTACTGATAATATATTCACAACATGTTTAGGAAACATCTAGTATCTTACCCATTTATTATTGTAAAGGTGTTATCATCGTAGTTTTGCAATGTATTAGCTAATGAAATATTTATAATGATTATCTGGCAGGCAAAAAATTGAATATTTATAAAACATGGGATGTCATAACTATTATTAGGGTTCTGTATTACCATTTACTTAAAATCGTATAACAGATACACATATTTTATTTCATGTGTATGCGACCATATTTTTTTTAAGTATGATTTTATAAGTAATAAAGATATCGCAAATGTTAGGGCGGTTGCAGAACAGACACAGTCGATGTCTTCTTGTAACTGCACTCTTTACATTATAAGAATATATACAGGGTGTTCAAATTAAAACTTCCCATCTGGAAAATATCGGAGTTAAAAAAAACTAGAGACACATCGATTTTCTTTCCAAGGGCGACATGTGATGGCGTAAGTTCTGTCTGGGAAGCTTCCCCTTGGGCATTGGCATAAAATACCCTTAAACTTTAAATGGCACCATGTTGAGCGGCACCTCATTTTAAAGCTTTTTCAATTCTGCTCACGATGACATTCGACTTTTAAAAATTTTGGTTTGGATATGACAATAAAGTCACCACTTAAAGAATAACACAAAATTTCAATTAATGAAAGAATGTTATTTTATTAAATGTTCAAATTGGTTTCTCTCCGTCTCCATACAATAATAGAATCTTTGCTCCACGTCCGAAGGAACATTTCGAAGCATTTCTCAATAAATGCAGCATTCGAGAAAATTTAATGTTTGGGCGGGCATACTGGGAGACACCTCATAGGGCCTTTCTTCCCACCGGGAGATCTGGATGGAAACATGTCTCACTTAAGGAGCTTCGTCGGCGAATTGTTGAAGAATGTCAGATAAACGTTTTAGATGGAACTTACCATAAAATATCCCGGTGTTTCAGAGTTCGAGTGACAAATGCGTAGGGGAGATTCCACTCAGCAAAATATGTAGAAAAGTTCATATAAACATGAGTCTGCAAGTGCTTTGTTTCCGAGATACAGGCTGTTAACTTTTTTTAAAAATTGAGTTTATTATGTTTTTTATTTTTATTATTTTTGTAATTATTGTCCACTGTTTCGACATAGTTGATCTACTTAATTTTAGTTTGGTTTTGTGTAAAATGTTCAGTCATTAAATTCAGAAACTGACACTTTGGCCCTATTTATCGACACTATGTATTAAATTTTTCTTGTTTGGAAATAAAGACAATTTATTATTATTATTATTAATAAAAAAAGCTAAAACACCCGTTATAAGCATCGTACATAATAATAAGAAGGTACCACCGAAAGTTAACAAAATAATAATTTCTTACTAATGAGGAAACCGATTGTAAAAAATAATCAACAGTTGTCCTAAATATTCCACGGTTAATCGTCTCCAGCGATCAGTAAATACCCATTTCAAAAACAAAAATGACCGTTCAACATTTACCGTGGTCACAGGCACATATCTAAAATAGTCAAAGTTGCATCAATTACTTCAAATTTTAGTAATTATTAATCCCACTATCTGCGTCATTGTACAATAACATGTACAAGTCCACCTCTGATCTGAAGCTTTGCATCGATCAATTTATTCACCTGTTCTTTCATGCTGCTGAACAATCCAGGTTTTTTTACTGAGGGTCGTTGAACGTGCGTTTCATTGTCATTTGTGCGTATGTGAGTTTGATGCTTTGCTTGGTGGTATATGATGATATATTTATAACACTACCACACAAAAAAAAAGTTGTGTGTACTTTTCATGCGACATATGTTAATCCGTAGGATCACGAATCCGGTTTCAGAATTGAGCTATCACATCACAGGAATTTCCTAACCTCAAAGAACAGGTCAAAAATAGCAAAAATTCAGGAAAAAGTGCTAGGAAAAGTACAAAATTTGTTTTTTTCTATATAATAATGTTTATTTATATAGTTAAGGCCCCGTCGAACGTGAATCCGCGGTTAGAATTGATGGTTCTTTTTCTAACCTAAAAAAACGGGTCAATTAAGGTCAGATATCACGAATTTTCAAAAAATAACAGATTAACGCCAAATTTGGTATACAGGGGTTTTCAGGGTCGCTGATCATGGATCCGGGGTCAATTTTGCAAAATTCAAGATGGCGGAGGCAAGATGGCCGACCAAATTTTCAAAAAATAACATTCCCGCCAAATTTGGTACACGGGGGTTTTCGGGGTCACTGATCACGAATCCGAGATCAGATTTACAGAATTCGTTTTTAAAAATTTAATCAATTCCCTTAAGAAGGGTAAAACATGATTGGGTACTCAGGTTATAAAGTAAACAACATGCATTTCGCAATTCTAACCTCGAATTCGTAATCAGCGACCCCGAAAACCCTCGTATACCAAATTTGGCGCGAATGTTTTTTTTAAATTTGGTCGGCCATCTTGAATTTTGCAAAATTAACATCGGATCCGTGATCAGCTACCCTGAAAACCCCTTTATAATAAATTTGGCGCAAATCTATTATTTTCTGAAAATTCGCGATATCTGACCTTAATTGACCTGTTTTTTTTTAGGTTAGAAAAATAACCATCAACGTTCAAGGGGTGTTAAACAAACATTTGAATATAGAATTTTTATTTATTTTATATATTTGATTTCATGTGAATTCATTGCTTTATTTTTTTTAACTCTCGTTTTATGAGCTCTAGCCACACATTTGTATCATGCATTTCTGGAAATCGATAAAAACAATTTTTTTAACTGATACCTAATCCCTTTTAATTTATGATTTATTGTGGAGGTTGGAAAGAAGACAAAAGCAGTTAATAATAAATAATTTAATATTTTCCTAGTAATAAATACATTTTAACTAAGACAGACACACAATCTCATTCACGCAAAGTTTACAGTATATAAATACATTCACGATTATACTTTTTATTCTGTTTGTTAATCTCGACGGGCATTTATCTAAACTGCACGATAAATCATCCATTTATTTATTTAAAACTAACACGAAAATATCCATCGGACTAGAAATTTCATTCCAGAAAATTGAACTCTATAAAATTAAAAAAATATAATCAAGGCTGTTTCCCCAATTTACATGAACATGAAATTTCACTGGCAGCACATGCCGAATTTACCTTATTCGATTTTAGATTAACAGTAATTATTAATAACGACCACAAATTTGGCACATACCTACAAATAACGGCTAATAAATAAATGAGAACAAGACTTAATATTAACTTTTAAGATACCATACAAATTTTAACCTGCCTCATCACTACGAATACAAAATATAGTACAGGACATTTAGACAACGAGACATGCAATTTCCCAACTGTAGCCAATGTGGCTTACGATTCGCAAGTATTATTCTACTTTATTACAATCTAGCTCGATTTCTGCAATGCTGCCAGAGCCGGAAAGTCACAACTGCACGGATCGAGAGTTTTTAGTCTCGACAATTGAAAAAATCTACTAAATGTAAATGCAGCACTGTACGTTTGAGAGCGCTGGCAACACTGGATTTCATATGAACGGTCTACGTGAACGGGACATTAATTAAACTAGGACGATGTGAACAATTAGACTCTAGGCTTTTCCAAAACTGGTAACTCTATACTAACTAAAGGAACCTTCAAGCATCAACATGTAACATAGTAGGATCACGGATCACAAATTAATGGAAGAGGGATGAACGTTAAACGATATGAAGTTGGTAAGTTGACCATACGTTAAATAATAATAAATCTTTGGTAACCACCATCTGAGTTGCTCCTTCGTTTCAACAGAGTTTAGCAAGTTCCCCTGGCTGTTGAGATTCATTTTAGCGGAACTGCGTACGTGACTGAACTGCGACTGTCGTTATTTTTTGAGGTTACGCGCGCACGCGCGACCTAACCGATTCATATGAACTACCGGGTCGAAATCTCAGATTAACAAACAGAAGAGATATTGGTAATTTGTTATCCTATCTAACTAAGCGCCCGTCAGGCGCATTTAGAATACTTTAATGGTGTTCCCTGATGTCGGTATGTATAGGTACCAACCAGTCTTTGGTGCTACTCAGAAGGAGTAAGAGTACTCCGACAAGTACGCAGTAAGTGAAGTGGGTAGTTCCAGTTGAGTATGTGGCGGCGGCAGCATGGCCAGCTTGGGCACGGCCGAGGCCTCCAGGGCCCGGTGTATGGTGAGTCTGGCGAAGTGCTTGAGGCTCGGCGGCTCCGGCATCTTCCTCAGCGGCTTCTTCAGCAGGATGGAGGAGTACCACTTGCCTTGCGGGTCTACCCACACTTGAGCATTTTCTTTGTACAGCTTACTCTGTCGGATGTAGTGCTGCACCAGATCGATGATGGAGGGGAATACGGGCATGGCGGATTGGAGGTGAGGCTGGGCGTCCAGCCTGAAGAAGCCGTTCAAGTAGAAGATCCGCACCGAGGTGGGACCGCGCTCAGTCTGCACACTCAACGAGAACAGGAACCTGGGGTCGGAGGAGTCGCGCACTAGGAACGTACCGATGGCGGTGTCCTTCAACAGTTCATGCCCGTGCTGGTAGCTGATGCCCTCGTAGTACCAGCCGGATTGGCGCAGAACCTGTACGGTATCCGAGAGGACTTTTAGGTCCGACACTGTCTTGCCGTCGAGGAACGACGGGCCGGAGTGCAGGGGCGAGGCGAAGGGGGGCAGGATGAAGGCTAGCGGCATGCTCGGCGACACCTGGGGCGAGGGGTAGGCGTTCGCCGGCGGCGTCAGCGCCGCCACCAACCCGCCGCCGCTGAGCACGTGCAGAGAGCGACGCACGTTGCAGCATGCCTGGAACGGTGAGCAGCACTGGAACTGGTGCTTGCAGTTGGGACATATCGTGTTACAGCCTAACATTGCAGGCGAGTGCCATGCCCAGTTGAAGAATTCAGTCTGAAACAAAGAGCGGACGCCGTTATTTTAAGCCCTTTATTTGTAAAATAAAGTATGGTAGAATATAAGGAATGGGATAATGTATTGAAAAATACTTTTATGTACATGAAAAATATAAATATTATTAAATACAAGCCAATAAATGATAAATACATATAAATAAATTTAAATACATTTATAGGTCATCAAATATAGGATTAGCTTTCGTTTTGTCTCGAGTACGGATAATAATAATAATGTATTTAGTATTGATATTTAAAATTCCCGCCTGATTTCTACCGCACTCTGGTGGTGGCTTTTTGAAACATTATAAAGTACGCGTGCGTGTCTATAGTTACTTACTGTTCTACGTTAATAATCCATGTATGAGGACAGAGTTGCCAGATGTGGCAATTTATCGACATTCAGCCCTATTCTGTAACTCCTAATCGAATAGAAATGTATAAAATCGAATCGAGATCAACCCATCAAATCGGAATTGGGCAACATCGGTATTCTATAACTTGTTTCGACGTCTACTATCGAAGTTGTTGGTAGAAATCGACGTTGATCGGTCAAACTTTGTCGAAGTGGTAGTTTTAGATATAGTCCAAGCATTATAGAGAAATGCTTACAGAAATTATTACCTGGACAAAAACAATATGACCGTATAGAAAATTAAATTTTAAATTGAGTTTCTTGTTCTTTAAACTCGATCCAATATGGCGAAATTGGTTAAAAAAAATCGCAAAGTTGAAAAAAGAACGGTTTTTCTAAAATAACTAAAAAAATATAGCACGGATCGAAAAATTTTAAATGAGAAAGTTGCAGGTTTTAAAAAGATCTATCGACTGATTTTTTGAAAGTATCGATTGCTTTGTTACTTTTCGAGATATATCGAAAAAACCGTTAAAAATCTTCTCTTTTCTCTTCTTCTATAACTCGTTTACATTTACGTGCCCATATTTGCTATTTACTGCAAGCATAGCCCGCGGCAAGCCAAAAAAGTACATTTTTGAAAAATTTAAAAATATTAATTATTTTTCGAGATATATCGATTTTTTGAAAAAAAGGCGCTCTCGAAAATTGGCTAGATCTTCTCAGCGGATAGCCCTACAGTAACGATTTTCGGTTTATTTTCTTCGTAAAGAGTTATATTATCATGCTGTTAAAAAATGTTGACGATTTTATTAATTTTAAGGATCAAAAAATGACTTTGAATAAGTTGCACTTTTTTGGGTATGTTTTTTTCAAATTACTATTTCAATTTTTATTTTATGAAAATGACTTTTAAAGAAAGAAAACTAAACATTTACGGGTCTATTTTGCTTCTAAGGCGAAAATGCTATAATATTCGTGTTTAGCTACCCCAGATTAAGTACAAAAAAATAATAAAAATTGAAATAGTTATTTGAAAAAAACATACCCAAAAAAAGTGCAACTTTTTCAGTCATTTTTTGATCCTTAAAATTAATAAAATCGTCAACATTTTTTAACAGCATGATAATATAACTCTTTACGAAGAAAATAAACCGAAAATCGTTACTGTAGGGCTATCCGCTGAGAAGATCTAGCCAATTTTCGAGAGCGCCTTTTTTTCAAAAAATCGATATATCTCGAAAAATAATTAATATTTTTAAATTTTTCAAAAATGTACTTTTTTGGCTTGCCGCGGGCTATGCTTGCAGTAAATATCAAATATGGGCACGTAAATGTAAACGAGTTATAGAAGAAGAGAAAAGAGAAGATTTTTAACGGTTTTTTCGATATATCTCGAAAAGTAACAAAGCAATCGATACTTTCAAAAAATCAGTCGATAGATCTTTTTTAGTTATTTTAGAAAAACCGTTTTTTTCAACTTTGCGATTTTTTTTAACCATGTTCGCCATATTGGATCGAGTTTAAAGAACAAGAAAGTCAATTTAAAATTTAATTTTCTATACGGTCAATTTTTTTTTGTCCAGGTAATAATTTCTGCAAATTTAACATTAATCCGTGACAGAATGCTTGGACTAATATCGAGATCGGGTCACGCATGCGTTGTTGTGTTAGATGTGCCAGTACTGTCAGTTTGAGTTAAGCATAATCTCGCAACACAACTAATCTTTTTTCCTTTTCGTGTTTTAAATCACAGAATTATAAAATATTTGTACGTCTATACGTGTATAGGTATATTTTTTATTTAATTATCTAATTTGTGCATGGTTTATAATATTCTCTATCAAATGGCTTAGTTTTACCATGAAGCAAAATTTTGTGCAGCGTAATGAAATCTACCATGTAGTTCAGCTGCTCTATAGAAGTTTTTTTCTTTATTGGAGTCGGAACTGACATACTTAATATTTTTCAGTACTGACCTTCTCGAAATATTACAGCAAAATGAATGTATTTTTAAACAAAACTATACAATCTAGTAGGTAGGTACAATTAAATTGACCGAATATGGGATATCCTATTAAAACACAACTGTGCGTAAATTCCACTTTTTATACCTGCGCTAAATCTTGTAAAAGACACATTTATCTTATTTTTACAGCTAATTTGCATATTTCATATTTTGAAATTTCTAACCTCTCTAAATGTCACTTGATTATTAAAGTCTATAATCGCAGAGCAATGCATTGTTGCCATTACGCTAAACCAGCATCGAATCGAGATCTTTCTCTACGATTCGTAACTTCCACGATTTGAATTACAGAATACCAATTTTAGGAAACGATCGACGCGATAGATATTGAACTTTACAAATTGCGAACATTTCGACTCGATCTGAGCATTTCGATGCAAGTTACAGAATAGGGCTGATTGTGGCGTGGCGACACAGCACACTCGAATGGCTCTCAAAAACAGCGAACGACTTTTAGTTAATTTTCTAGATGATGGCGGCAATTATTTGTATCCATGGTGTCGCTAGTTTTTCCATTAGATAATAACGATATTTACGAAATATTTGATTTTTAAATATTATTTCAGAATATTATAGCGTAAAAAAATAACTAATATTTTATTTCAATTTCATGACGGTGGATTAAATAAAATAATCACATTATCTGTGAATGAAAAAATATTGTTCACGTGACTACGCAACTGTTTTCTTTTTAATTGCGAATAAACTGTTTTATTTTGAACAATTGTCATAATTTTTTTTATTATTGTTAATTTGTAACGTACAACTGACCATTAAAATTTATTCGAGTTTTATTTACATCCTGTATAGATAAAAAAAACAATGTAGTTGATCCTTATGAACGATTTTAAGTGTATTATCACTAAAAACAACAATGATTAAAATTTTATCTAGTTTTTAAAAATCAATCGAGTGAAAATCAATTTTGGATTTTTACGTTTTATTTTCTTAACAATGCAAATTTCATTAAAGACCTTTACAAACTACATTTGTTCTCGTAAAATTTTAAAATTTCATAATGCTTTTGAAATAAAATCCTTATAATGATATCCACGTATTTTATTATTTTGATCCACCCGATTAATATTAAAATAGGACTTGGAATGTTTCTAAAATTAAAATCAGCAGCACATTAAAAATACCCGTCAATTAAAATTGTTCGGAAGACAGTTGTAATACCTGTTTAGATATTGTTAATATTTCCAGCTATAGAAATAATATTTTGGGTATAATAAAACCCGTTTCACATTTACCAATTTTTAACCCAATGAGTTGTTCAAGAAATTGTACCTTTACACTTTAGAATCAGTTGATCAAATTTATGTCTAAGTACTTTTATAATAGAAATCAATAAATTAATGGATAACAGTCATGTAACCAATTCTTTTAAAACTTAAAACAGGTGTTAAAGTTGTAGAATGTAACTAAAATTAGTGCTATTGAATTAACATTGAAGGTCATTGAAAGCACAAAAATTGGTAAAAAATTATCAACTTATTGGTTCAAAAATCGGTAAATAAACGTCTAATTTCTATAACGTACCATACTGTTCTTAAAATATTGCGAGCCCCACTTATTTAGGAAATATTAAAGCAAAATATCGCCGCCTGCAAGCTTCACTTTAATTTCGAAAGAAACACTCGCCCGGACTATCGACCGTATCATTTTCGAAGATGCCCGGGAATCTGATTTTGGTGAAACGAGGGCCACGACTGTTCGGCCAAACATGACGAAATATGGTGCACACGGTATCTCCGAGCCTTCGGGTACTCCAAATCAAGGTAACGACTTTTTTATCAGCCCGTACTACCAACACTAATTTTATTATCTATTAATAATAATTTACAACGATCTATTGTTATAAAAAAAAACAACAGGCCGATAATTCATGAAACGTATTGCGTCAGATAAACTTCTGGGAATATTACAAAATCATCGCGTCGCTGTAGAGGGGCCAGGCCAGGTAGAATTCAGGCCCAAATTTGGAGGAGCCCCGATATCTGCAGGAGTTGACTAACAAATCGGAGTTTGATAAAAAAAAGTATTTTTAAGTCTGACCGCACGCTCTCCTTGTAATCATTTTGTTAATCAGTTAAAAAGCGTTAGATATTGGATCTAAATATGCGTCAGACTATTAAAAAAAGTATACAGTGTGTGTGTAAAAAAGAATTTTGCATACATTTTTCCGAAAATGTCGTCGATGGAACGAAATAGTTATTTACACCATAAAGTAGGTAAGTATTATTTACCAGTCGATTTTGTGCCCGAGCGGAGCGAGGGCTGGCAATTGAGTCCGAGACTGGTAAATTTTTACTTGATGTATTAGAAGAGACATGGTGGGTGGAAATGAGCCACAATTGCAGAAAGTTATATTCCTGACAGTTTAAGTAACAAAAATGAAATAGCCAACAGGATTCTTTACAATGACACTTAGAAGAAAGTTTTGTTCAAACAATTATTACTAAATAATCTACATTTAGGAATATCGAATTAGTTTCACGAACTTTCAATATTTTCCCCCAGAACTACGGAAAAATCCGCACATCTGGCACCACCGGAGTTTAGACGCTCTGAAGGCAACACCAACAAAATCCCATCAACCCGCGAACCCACG